AGGTCAAGTCTGACGTCGTCAGGCTTGTCAAAGACGAGCGTGTTGGGCGCCTCGACACGCCGAAGACGATGATCCCACTTGATGATGCCCTCGGGGAGGGATGCCGCAAGGATGCGCCGCAGCTGCGCGGCGGTCGATTTCGGGCCGCTCTTGGACGTCGCTCCGCGCACTGGAGGCTCCCATGACGAAATGCTGGCGCGCGTGCTGGTCGACCCAGGCGATGTACTGCCCGTCATATCGCGCGTGTTCGAGGAATTCGTCCCATAATCCGGCCTCCTTCATGGCAAGGAGGCCGGTCGATGTGTGGAGGTCCAACGTCCCGCCTTGAGATCGAAAATCGAGCGACGCCTCGCTCTCAAACACGGTGACGCTCACATTGGCCCGATGGAGGAGTCTCGCGAGCATGCAGCCTGAGGACTGTTAGACGGGACAAGGCACAGAGGGGTGAGAGCCAAAAGAAAAAAAAAATGAAAAAATGTACCAGCCGGGCCAGCACCGATGATGGCAATCTTAGGCCCCATGGCCGGAGAAACTGGTGCATCCTGGGAGGCGGTCATGTTGAAGGTGCCGATAGATGATGGGAGACGACGACAGACGATGGGAGACGATGAACACCGTACCCGTGCCCTTGTTGGGGACGGTCAAATGTCGTATAAGTAGTCACAGCTCCTACTCAGGGCCATCGTCTATGCATGTGGACAGACGGAGCAGCCACATCGCGTGAGGCTGGCTTGCGGCAACAATGTAGGAATACCACGCGGCGTTGTTGTAGCGTGAAGTCAGTTCGCTCAGCTAGGCTTGATGGACATGCAGTATTGGCTGCATCAGCGACAGCCTCCCCCAACGCGGGTGCGGGTGCGAGTGCGAGTGCGCCGCGCAAAGACGTTGCCGAATTCGTCACAGGGCGGGCGAATCAATCCATGGTCTCCGGGTGAGCTCTAGGCAAGTGTCGGCATACAGGCATTGCATTGCCCTGAGGTCCACTGGGATGGGATGCTCCGTCTGTTGTCCGAGGTGGGCAGGGCTGATGCTCGCCGAACATCAGACACACAAGACATCAACCGGCCTCAGAAGCGACTGGCTATGCTGATCGAGAAGATGGGAACACGGGCAAGGTGTGTCGAGGCGGGGCTTTCCGGGTGGATGGAGGAGGGAGGCCAGAGGAGGAGGAGGAGGATGACTGTTGGGTGCGTTGGTGTGTTTGGTGAGGTCCACCTTCCATGTACCATGTACCTTTCTAGTCGTCGCCTCAGGCCGAAACACCAGAAGTGAGCTTCCGACGCAAATCCCGACCGAGAACCTTCAATTGGCATCACCACCACCGCACCCACAACTACCACTCCCCTCAATCTCTCCCATCACCAGTCCTCGCTCCGTCACCAATCGCCAACATGGTCTTCGCGTGGAAAGCCGCCGGCATCACGTGAGTGCAATTGCCATTCCCTCCCCCCCTCCAGCCCGCCCGCCGGCCGCCCGAATGTCCCGCGTCGCCATGGGCAGGAAAACGAAGTGAACTGGCCTCCGAAAACTGACCCGCCGATTCCCGCACCACAGCTACAACCGCTTCCTGGCCGTGTCCGCACGTGCTGTGCGTCGCAGCCTCAAGGAGGACAAGAGGATCCTCGCCGAGCGCCGCGGTGCCGTCGCCGAGATCAGGTTCGCCAAGTGGGAGGTAAGCCGACACTGAATGACCCTGCTCCGAGCCAGATCGCCCCCTGGGGACGCAGGGGGCGTGGCAAGAAGGGCGGAAAAGAAGAGCATAAATGGAAGCGGAACGCTGACCCCAATACCGCGACGAACAGAACGGCAAGATGGGCGAGCCCAAGGACCTCGTCAAGGCCAACGCCGCTCAGGCTGTCGAGAACGCCGCCGCCGGCTCCTCGTAAGCCCGTGTATCGAACGCAAAAGGGGAGGATGATGAATGGCAGTGGAAGAGCAGGGGCACCAGCAGCAGCAGCAGCAGCAGCAGCAGGGTGTCTGTGAGTGTGAGGAAGTAGACGGGAGGGAGGAGGATACCTGCGAGATGCATCTCCCCGCCCGCTCGCCCGCTGGTCAAGGGGCGGCTGTATCATAGAGACGATCCGCGTTATTCGATATCAATTCCTGCTAATGATGCGGTCTACTGGATTCTGCCATGGGCTCGACATGCTTGTCCGTCTCCCCATGCGTGCTGTTGCGTCGCTGGACAGCGGCTGGGTCCGATGCCTACACCACCATCAGTACCGCCAGCGTCTGCCGGGCAAACTCGGCACTAAGCCGCGTGCCCACTTCTGTCTGCGCGCTGGCAGACGCCCAAACATGAACCACCATGTTGGTTCTGAGCTTAGGCTGTTCGTCTACTGCGTGTGACTTTTCTTTCTTGATGGAATCATTGCGCATTGCTGGATGTGTTCGAGCAGCATCTCAACGCTTCCCTCGGTCCTTCCCGTTTCTGTCGTGATTGTGTACTACTACTGGGTGGATTTTGCATCAATGGCGCCTGTCATTTGAACGAACAGCCCCTCCACTTGCCTCACTTCACCTCACTTCAACTCACTTTTGCCTGGGCACCTCACGTACCAAACTCGCCTCCAACCTGCATGGCCAGCCAAGCTTTGGGGCTCACGATCGCTCTGCACCACCACACACGATGGCGGCCTCGCCCGCTCTTGAGGCGTCACAAGGTACACGGAACATAGCCCCGGTTCTTGCTTCTTGACCTCGATCGCTGACCCCGTCCAGACATCTCGAGGCTCTCCCTCGAGGAAATCCGCGCTCATGAGCAGCCGAGACCCGCACCACCTGTACCGGCGTCCGCGTCGAACCCTGGCATAGTCGCATTCGACATCACGTCTCGGTTCCGGAAAGCAGCGTCAAGTGAGGATCTCTTTTCTACCGGCAAGTCCGACAGGGCCCGTCGGCTGACCACATAACAGCACTTGCACCCGGCGAGCTCGTCAAAGATGGCTTCTTCACTCTGTTCGAGTCTGTCGGTGCTCTCGAGGTTTGCTTTTCTCTCTCGCCGCCGCCTGCCAGAGCACGCAAAGCTGATGAGGCCAACCCCAGATCATGGACCCCAAGATGGACAGCGGCTGCTTGGAGCCGGGTGAATCCCTCGACAACGACTATGACGTATCAAAACCCTTGCTGCCCGAAGAAGTCCTCGGCATCATCGACCAGCTGCTCTGCCACGAAGTGAGCCACCCACGTATTTCGCCACGTCTCTTCGCTCAGGCTGATCTTGTTTTCTTTTCTCTCTCTCTTCGTAGATGGCCTGGCATGTCGGCTACCCCCTCTCCCAGACGGTTTTCACCTGTGCCTATGTCGAATCGATCCTGATGCCTGCGCCCTCGACGCTCGACGAAGCTCACTTTATCAGAGATCCTGCCGTCGCAACGCCCTCGCCCATGCACGCTGTACTGCGAGCGTACTGCCTCGGTCTGCTCAAGACGTGCGGACAGGTCAACGAGAGCATCATCAACGAGCACTACTACGAGGCTCGTGCTTGGCTAAAAAAACAAACCCCTTGACTCGGCTCAACGTGCTAACAAACATGACAGGAGGAAGACTTTGTCACAAATACATACCACAGAAACCTCCTGGACAAATTTTCCATCGAGAGCGTTCGCCACATCATTCTAGAAACGAGCAGCCTCCTCCAAGGTCTCGAGACTCGGGTGCCCACCGACATCATCCGGGCCCTCAATGACCGGCTCCTGTTACGACACAGTTTCCTGGCGGCCACCGACGCCATTCAGTACCGCACAGCTCCCGATCTCATACGAGCACCCTGGAAGGAGTCCCTCGTCATGGTGCAGGGACTGCAGAGCAGCCACGCGCTGGCAAAGCATGTGCCCGACGCATTCAGCGCAAAGCTGCAGCGGAAGCTCGCTAGTACCATGCCACCGCGGCCGATCGTGCAGCTGAGCTTCGATGACGCCTTTGGACACATCAAGCGACTCTTTGAGGATGGCGTCGAGGTTATTGACGTGCTCGAGTACCACGACTCGCAATGTCTGCAGGTGAGAGAATATATTCAAAGGAGAGACAAAAAAAAGATTGTTTCTATAAAGAAAAAGGACCTGCTTGCCGTTTGCCGTGCTAACCACCGACCAAGACCTTTGTCCTCACATTCCAGGCCAAAAAGCCCCAGGCTCTCATCTACATCCGGACGCTGCTGCAGAACTTTCTGTTCAAGGATATGGAGGTCCTCGGGCACATGAGCATACGCATGCTGCTGGACAACGACCTCGCCATCGTGGCGCTGCCGTGCAGCACGCTGCTGGACCGGGCCAACGACGACGTCGAGGCGCCGCAGGACCCGCGCTTCATCGTGGCCGAGACGATGGAGGCGTTCCGCCAAAAGGCGGCGCAGCCGTACCTCGACATCCTGCGGACTTTTTGCCAGAACCGGTGCCGTGTGCGGCGCACGCTGTGCCACGTGATCCGTGACTGGGAGAACCTCCAGTTCGAGGCCGAGGACGTGGACCAGATCCTGCAGCACCAGACGGACGCGCAGCCCATCGTGTACCGCGCCGCCGACGGCGGGGCGTCCGTCGAGACGTTCGCCCTGTCGCTCTCGTCGTGGGCGCACCTCTACAAGCTCCGGCAGATGGAGTGGATCGTCCAGCTCGGCTTCGAGCTCGAGGTCTACCAGACCGACGAGCTCGCCGGCATGTACTGGTATCTGCAGCACCTGGCGCGCCAGCGCCTGCAGCACGTCGAGCGCATCAAGACGTTCACCGTGCGGAGCCTGACGCAGCAGCGCGCGGGCGGCCCACGCGGTCTGACGCCGGCGGCGGAAGCGCAGTTTGCCACGTCGCTCAACTTTATCCGACTCGCGCTCCTCGACGCCGCCATCACGGCCGAAATGGCCGACGCCATGTCGTGCCTGCACACGGCGCTGCACCGCCTCGGCCTCCTCCGCCCGCAGCCGCGGCCCTACAGCACGGACGAGCTGCGGTACGAGACACGCATGAAGCCCTTTGCCGTCATCAGCCACCCGGCGCTGCCGACGTTCGCCGAGTTCACAGCCGGCACGCGCCAGCCCGCGACGTCGACGGCGGACCTGCTGCGGCTGGCGGAGCGCGGGCTCGCCGGGTCCAAGAAGGCGCTCGAGGCCGTGGGCCGGCTGTCCGAGGCCGAGGCCTTCTCCGTGGGGTCGCACGCGCGCTGGCTGCCCGGCGTCAAGGGCGCGCTCAAGTCGTGCATCGCAACGGGGCTCGCCGTGTCGGTCCTGCAAAAGGCACTCGACCGGGCCGGCGAGGGCGGCGACCTCAAGCTCAGGGCCGAGGTGCCCACCCCTGACAAGGCCTACCACGAATGGTGGCTCGTGCCGAGGATCCTGCCGGTGCGGTAGCTGCTTCTCTTCATGCTTGGTTTGGGGAGAAAGGGGGGGGGGGGAGGGGAGGGAGTTAGGGTGCCGCAGGGGCCGAGGCTCCTGGGTTTTCTCCCCATCGTCCCGTTTCCCCTCTCTCCTCCTCCTGCAACCCCTGTGGACCGCTACCAGGGGATGAACATGCCTGTGCGATTTTTGTCCGAGGGGTTATTGGCAGCAGGCCGTCTTGGGGAAGAATCTTTTCTTTTTCTTCTTTCTTTTCTTCCAATATCATAAAAGAATAATTCTCGTTACAGCCTAGCATACTAAATTCGTGGTATCCCATCCTTCCGGTTCCGGCCCCTGTGAGCATGGGCATCACAAACTCCGTCTCAAGCGAGCGTTCAACCGTCCTCCCAGTGCGAGACATCTCATCTGATATCCTTCGCAATATACAATTTTTACACGTGTTTGATGTTCTGTCCACGTTCCATGTCAGCAATGACGCGGAGAGACATGTTGTCCGAACAAGTGCGCTCAAGCGCGCTTCTTGGCAGCGGCAAGGCGAAGCTTGACAGTCTGCTCGTAGAGCACGTCCTTGAAGGCGAAGAGAAGAGCAGCCGTCAGGACGCTCTGGGTCACCTTGGGGCCGATGCCTGGTACTGTTTAGCGAGGGGTTCGATGTGGCTTGGCCATGGTATAACGCACCCTTGTAGAGACCCTTGTATCCCTCCTCCTTGACGACACGGTTGATCGCCTGGAAGACGCCCTCCTTCTTCTCGCCGTGGGCGGCAACGTGCATCTGGCTCTTGACCGTGATATAGGGGTACGTCACGGATGTGGCAAAGAGCTTGCCCAGGGCGCCGAGGAAGAAGGCAATAGTGGGGGTCACGCGCCTCTTCTTCTCCACCGAGTTCTTCATCTGCTCAAAGAGCGTATACTGAAGGATGGGGTTGATGACGAGGACCAGCGCGGGGATGACGCCCGCGAACAGGGCCTGGGGTCCCTCGTGCTTGAGGAGGGCCAGGAGCACGCCGAGGGTGCTGGGGGTCTTGGCCTTCTTCTTCTTCTCAATCTGGGCCTCCTCGTCGCCCTCCTTGACCTTCTCCTCCTGGGCGCGACCGCGGGTGGTGACGCGCGTGTTGACGACCCAGATGGGGTTCGTGATGATGACGGTGGCGCTGCCGGCGAGGGCGCCAGCGAGCATGGACTCGACGGTCGTGAGCTTGCCGGCGACGCGGCCGGGGCGGGACGCGGCGGCCTTCTCGAAGAAGGCGCGGGTCCATTCGTACCAGTAGTAGTAGACAAAGTTGGTGACACTGATGCCGAAGAGGGCCGAGTTGAGGCCGGAGTAGAGGCCGGAAACACCCTCGCGAGCGATGATGTTCTGAACGGCGTCGATGAAGCGAGACTCGGCGCGTTTGGACTCGACCTGGGCACGGGTCGAAAGAGTAATGAGGGGGTAGCTGGTGGGCGCGTGTCAGCGGGCGCATTCTTCGCAGGTGAGGTCAAGGAGAGACGCACGTCAGAGCCATGGACAGGAGACCACCGCCAGCGCCGGCGAGGGCGTGGGCGACGTTGTCATTCTGGGGGAGGACAGGCTTCGACATGGTGATAGTGTTGGTGGGAGTGGTGGCGATGGCAACAGTTTGGGGCGATGACGACGTCAGTCTCGTGGATAGCGCGTTGATGGCGTGGTGAGCACAGGTGTGGAAGAGGGACAATTGGGATGGGCGTCAACGGGGATCGTAGAGGGATATGACTCGAGGCCGAGTACGCTTGGGATGATGCTTTATTGATACTGCAAGCCAAGGTGATGCAAGAGAATGAAATGGCATCCCTAGTCGTGCGAGCCGAGGTCAACTCTAGTCGTGCCGACGGCAGATGCAGGGCAGGAGGCGTTCGGCATGCCACCTGCCCACCCTGCCCACCTGCCTAGGTAGGTA